TTCTAAGCTTATTTATTTATTTATTTATTTATTATTTTACATCCGGGGGGCAAGCCACAGGGGCTCGCCACAATCTCCTAGGGGGTATTAGGAATAGATTAAACTAACAATTCTATATATATATAATTACTAATATAATCAAGCATTCCATTTTTCTATGGCTATAATGCTAATGGTAAGCGGGGTGACTGTGTTATGAGTGGTTTTTGCTGCTTTATTCCAACTTATAAGTTCGAGCTATCCAACTCACTTCATATTAAAAAGTTTAGGGGTTATTTGGAGTCTTTTGTGAAAAGATAGGGGTTATTAGTTGGTAAGGGCTGGGGTGATTATAAACTAATAAAAACCAGAGTAATCGGACTGTTAAAAATCAAGGCGATTGTAGATTACTATAAGCAAACAATTATTATTATCAAGAAAAAAAAGATATATTGTAATCACTCGAATATAGATAGAATTACTTTTTCCAATAGAGAGGTAGAATAACAATAAAACAAAAGCTTCTTTATATTGAGGTTAAAGGATTAGGAAAGGAGCACAATACCTTTCTTTGATTGTATACAAATAATAAACTATAGTTTTGTAAATGACTAGGTTTCGAAAAGATAGATATTGATTGGGATATAGCTTTAAGCAGAAGTGGGCACCAATCACTTTATTACTGAGCCAGCCACTCCTTACGGAGAATAATGGTCTTTTTGTTATTCTAAGCTTATTGAGAAGTGGTTTTGACTAGTTTCGAATATACGAGCGAAATACGGTATTCTCGATTGCGATTTCTACAATTTCGATGAAATGGGCTTTATAATGGGTATAATATGCTTTGGAATGGTGGTAATTAGTATTGAACGAAATAGCAAAAACAAGGCAATACAATCAGGTAATAGAGAATGGGCTATAATGATTATATATAATAATGAGAAGGGTGAAACTATACCCTCATTTCTAGTGGTTCAAGGACAGGTTCATCTTTCCAATTGGTATATCGAAATCGATTTTCCTGTGGATTGGGTTATTAAATCTATATTTAATGGATGGATAAATAATAAGATGGATTTAGAATGATTGAAATACTTCGATAAGTATATTAAGAATTGAAGAAAGGGTAAATATCGAATATTGATGCTAAATGGGTATGAAAGCTACAAATTAAGAGCTTTTCAAGTATACTGTGAAGAGAACGATATTATATATTTATGTTTACTACTGTATTCAAGTCATCTAACTCAATTATTTGATATAGGTTGTTTTGGTAATCTGAAATGTTCATATAGTGGTCAAATTGATGGATTTATCAAGGCATATATCAATCATATCTTGAAGGTTGAATTCTTTATAGCTTTTAAAGCTATATATAAAGAATCGATTACCTTTCAGAATATAAAATCAGGGTTTCGAGGAACAGGTTTAATACTATTTAACCCTGAAGCTGTACTTTCGAAATTAGATATTCGAATTCGTATATCTATCCCCCCCTTTTTCGATCTAGATTAATGGATCTCTCAAACCCCTTATAACCTAACTGAAGCTCTTTCTCAATCAACATTAATTAAATCTCAAATAACTTATCATCAATCAAGCTTTTCTATATCTATATTTGAGACTGTACTAATTCTAGCTAAGGGTATAAAGAGATTAGCTTATGAAAATATATTTTTAAATGTAGAGATTTATATACTTTGGGTAGCAAATGAGGTATTAAGCAAATATTGATGCGCGAAAAAAATTCAGTTACATCAAGGAGAAGTGTTTATTGAATAAAAGGCTCTTGATGTATTATTTCAGCAAGAGATTGATATTCAGATTCAATACAACGAGCATCAAAATAAGGGAAATCCTATTAAGAAAGCATCTTTTAATAGGTACTGTAATAAGTATGGAAAATCAGGTTATAATTCAAGAACTTGTCAAAACAATGTAATAAGTCGGGCACCCTACTTTCGGGCCACCCCTGTTTTGGGCCACCCTTTCACACCAAAAATCACTTTTTAGGCCTATTAATATCTCTATGAATATATAATATAATTTGATGAAAATTTATATATAGATAATTTAGATCGTTTTAAGCTTATTCTGAAATTCTTAGATATTTAGGACTATTCTGGATTGAGAGCTAAAGGTTCAAAATATCGATTTTCAAATTTGTATGGGAATCACATACAAATTTAGAATTTTTATAAAACCTTTAATAACTTATTAACAACAATTATTAAAAGAAAACTGTATATCTTTTTGAAAGATTTGAACTTAAATCTATATAGAAATTCAAAAAAAAATTAAGAAAAATTAACAGATATAGAGATATAGTATATGGTGAGTTTAGAATAGTATAAATAATCCCTGTCATTTTGAGGGTACCCCTATAAATATTTATTTATAAGAAATTTTCTATTTTTTCTGAATCTCTTATATTAAAAATACTATAAATTTATAATAAAATTATATAGTTTATTTTTAGCAATTTTTATTAAAAAGTTATTAAAGATTTTATAAGAAATTTAAATTTGTATGTGATTCCCATATAAATTTAGAAATCGATGTTTTGAAGCTCTAGCTCTCAATACAGAAAAATCCTAAAAAATCTAAAAATTTCAGAATAAGCTTAAATCGATTTAAATTATATATACACAAATTTTCATTGAATTCTATCCATAAATAAGAAAGTTAAAATTCCATTTTTGGTGTATTTTGGGTATAAAAAGTGGCCCAAAAGGGGGGTGGCCAGAAAGTGGGGTATCCGACTTAGATCCTAGATTACTAGATTCTTAATAGTTTTAATCAATTGATTCAATTGTTGTTGAATAATATAAGTTTAAAGTGGTAAATTGAGGTGAAAGTGATCCACTCGGTGATATGATCCACTCGGTGATAAAACACGTTATATATTATAAAATCTATTTTATTTTTATAATTATAATTTAATGAATATTAGTAATCTTAATATTATTAATACTTTTAATTCTTTTGATATTTAAATCAATTCTATTCTAATTCTATTCTATTCTTATATACCTAAGTTTTTTTTTGTTAAAAGAATTTTTTTATACAAACAAAACAATGTATTTAATACAGAAATGCTTTTCATTAAATACAATTCTATTTATTTGATTTGTATCAAAATACTCAAGACTAAAAAGAATTTATTCTAATTATTCTAATTATTTCTATTAATCTTAAATACAATAATAATAAAGATAAGGATTTAAATAAAATTATTAATAATCAATACTTTAAAGATTGTTTGAAAAAAATAAAAGTGTCACGGGATGACATTAAGCCCTTTCTGTCCTGTCCTGTCCTGCTATATATGTGAGAGTAAGGTAGAACTTCCAGTTCTACCTCCTAGTCTTTTGGGCGTTTAGCTCAGCGGTAAAGCTTCTGAATACTCCCAGAAGTGATCCCGTGACAAAAAGCTTTTTATAATAATTTCTAATTGATTATTATATATTTAGTATCTTAAAATATTTTATATAAAAACAATAAAGAAAATAGTAATATTGATAATAAAGAGAAAGATTATTGATTATATTTTGTATTTAAGTTATTTATTTAAAACAAATTCGAAACAAACTTTTTCAGAAAGAGGGAATAGTGTTATGCTATATATATGATCGTATTTGATCGGGCTAGTATAGTACTAAGCTTCGAGCCGATCGCATATATAGTTTCGTAGCATATTCTCTTTAGCTCTGTAGCTTTTAATTCTAAGGTTGATCTCTAAACGCTTGTTGGGTTCGTTACAATAAATTAATAAGTTAAAATAGGAGATAGAAAGATAGAATAGAAAGAATTGATTTGTTAATTTAGAATTAAAAGAAATGAGATGATATAAGATAGAATATATGAGATAGAATACATAAAGAATTATTGAATATGAGATTTAATAGATTAATATATTAAGAAATAAAATAAAATAAAATAAAAGAGAATAAGAGAAAAGAGAAGAGAGAGGAAATAGATTAAAATAAAATAAAAGATAGAGAAAGAGGAAAAGATAAGTAAATGATTTTAAAAAAGAGATTAAATTCGTAATTTTAGAGAAAAGAAAAGTAGGAAAAGAAGAGAGAAAACAATATCTCTAAAAAACAAAACGTATACTATCGTCTCTAGTTTCTATTCCGGATATCTTTATTTTATAAAAATAAATAGAGATTCTTCTTTATTCTTTTTTTATTCTAATTATATCTAATAATGTTCTATTTTATCAAATAGTAGTTGAATCGAATCGGATCGAATTTAATAGAACTGAATTTATCTTATTGTTTGGGATTTGAGGATCTGAGGATCTAGATACTTAAATCCTCAGATAAACACTTTGAATTATTTCATTTTAAATATTAAATACTAGATATTTGTTAGATTATAAGCTATAGATTTATAGATTTATAGAAGATAAATTAAAGAGTAAGAAATAAGAGCTATTTTTTGAGTATAAGAAATCGAGTGTTTAATTTGAGTATTAGATTTAGATATTGAAATCGAATATTGAAAATTAGGATTTGAATAGATATCTAGATACTTATATATATAAACAATCAAATCAAGTAATACTTAGATCATTACAGAACGAGTAAGTTAGATGAGGATTCATAATACGAGATTATCGAAACTCGCTAGTATGTGTGAAGTTAACCGAGGTGCTAGTGTTACGTTTTTCTTTTCATTCGTGGAATCAAAAGCTGGAAGCGAACCCCCTTTTACAAATTCATTTATATAGAGTATAAGTATATGTTGCTGACTGTGTGATGTATTTTTATGAGAAGGCTCTTGAGCGATGTTTAAAGGGAAACCATCTGTGATATCTTTTCTTAGTTGAAATTTAGTTTAAGAATATAGTGATGCTTCTATATACGATACTATGAGATTTCTGCTCAGTGTATAGCGTACTGAAGATTAGACGATACAAATTAGTTCCAGAGATCGAAAAGTCATGTGAAAGACCAGATTTATATAATGAATAACTTTTATTTCTGAAAACCACAGAAAACTAGTAAACTTAACTATGCAAGTACTTTTCCCCTGATATTCACAATCCTCACACTTTCCACTCCCTTCATCTTCCACGTCGCACTCGCCACAATCCCCTCACCATCCCATTTAAAATCCAGCACTCCCCCCCCTCTAACCCTCAACCCCTTCACACTCCCCTCCCCCCAAACCCCAGGAATAGCCGGACCCAACACCACCGTTCTCACTCCCCCCTTATCATCAACCCCAACCGGCAAATCCACAACCAACATACTCAACACCGCACCCCCATACCCAAAATTCGCATCAATCTGAAACGGTTCATTCTTCCCACTATACATACTCAACGCATTCCCCGCGATATTCTCCTGAATCGTCAATCGCAACTCCGCATACGCAGTGTCCGTATCGTTTAATCGTGCCCAACAAGCGCTTCGCCATACTTTTTCCCAGCCCGCGTTGGAATCGATGATTCCCGGTCCACGCGAGATAAGCGTGTTGCGGACGGCGGTGGAGATGGTAGAGTTGGTGTAGCCGGAGAGATAGGAGGAGAGAGAGGAGCTGGGGAACCAGCCGATTAGATTGGAGAGGTGGCGATGCGTGGTGTTTTCGTAGCTCGGGAAGTAGATTTTCCATTCTTGGATTTGGGTCGTGGGGGAGATGTGGAGACCTTTGTCGAGGGAAGAGAGGGAGGTGGTGAGGGATTTTTGGAGTGTGCTGTCGAGGTAGAGGGTCCGCGCTGCTTGGAGAGCGGTGGTGAAGAGGGAGTGGATTAGTTGTTGGTAATGTGTACAGCCGAATGTGGTCTATGAGTTGTGTTAGTACCAATTGAAATTTTGCGTCGATTATTCGAGAGAAAAACTTACAGGACCATGTTCAGGCGAAGAACAAGGATTAACAACCAATGTCCCATCATTGAAATACTCATCCTTCTGCAATTGGCTAAGCCAAAATTCCGACACAGCTTTCAACAACGGATATCCCGTTTCCCTCAACCAATTTTCATCTCGCGAGTAATCATAATAATCAGCCACATGTTGCATCAACCAAGACGCCGCCGCCGGATAATCAGCCCAATACTCATCTCCCGTTTTCATCCCCGTATGTCCAAAAATATTTATTTCATCATGGAATACCCATCCCGGTGCATTGTATAAAAGTTTTGCAGTTTCTGCTCCGCGCGGTGCCCATGTTTCGCTCATGTATGTCCATAATGCGGATTGCAAGTCTCCGAGACCGGTTTGGACGGCTCCCCATTGGTTCATTTGAATATTGATGTTGGCGTGATAATCTGCACCCCAGGCGTTAGATAGACCATATGCCCATTTTCCTTGGAGATTGGGCGGGAGAGAATTATCTCGTGATGAGGAGATGAAGAGATAACGACTATAATCGAATAAAAGACTTTCGAACCAGGGATCGGTATGAGTGTTGTCTGTAGTATTGTATGCAGCAATTACAGAGGCAGTTTCCTTGTTTGCTGATCCGAGAGGATCGGGAAGATTGAGTGTGAAAGTATTCATTAGAGCGGAGAAATCAGATATATGGTTATTCCGGAGGGTTTTAACAGTTTTCGAAGCAGCCTTTGCAATGTTAGAGGAAATGTAGGCGCCCGGATCTATCCCTTTGAATGAGTAATTATCTGCAGCTGTACCTTTTGTAGCATCATAGTTTGTACCAGCCGAGATGACTAAAGACAGGGACTTTTGATCACGAGATGGTGTTATGCTGAGAGTACCTGTGGTATTGGAACAGGACACTGATTTCGTGGATTCAAGTACTCGAGCCTCAGCCTTGTAAATCAAGCCTATATCAGCTTGAGTGATACCACTGAATAGAGCCGACTTTGAAGATTTCGAACAAGATGACTTGATCAAAGAGCTATCAGTTAATACATTATCGAAGAGAACATCGATTTTAGGTAGAGTAGTTGTTGAGCTGACTTGGTAAACGCATACACTATCTGGGTAGGAGCAAAATACAGTACTAATAATCGTTAGAAATTGCCGAGTCCCGAAATAAGTACGACTAACGTAGTATAAGAAGCATTTGCAGTCTTGAAAGTAGTAGTATGAATTCCAGTAGTCAAATCGAGACTTCGTTTATATTCCGTAGCTCCCGAAATGCCCTGTAATGACACGGATAAATTTCCTAGGACTTGGTAACTTCCATAATTGTCATCTGAACCCATCAAGGCAGTAACATTTCCAGTGCCGTTCTGAAAGATAAAATCTCTAATGCCTGATAATGAGGAAGAAACCGAGGAGTTTGGATTACCGCCAATGTAGTTGGCGTCCTCGAAGGGTCCACCATTCCATAATGAATCTCTATTGAGATTAAGTTTTTCGGAACCTGGCGTACCAAATGGAAGTGCTGTGTTTTATTCAGTACAACGACTCAATAAGGTCTTGCTTAAAGTATATACCAGCTAATTGACCATTTCCTATAGGATAGGCTGTCCTAATAAGATCCTGGTAGACTGCCGGTTGAGTAGACCACAGACTTTTGCCTTGAACGTTTAGCGACAAATGCGAAAGGGTTAGGACCGTGATCCAAGATATCGGATGCATTTTGAGCATCACAGCTTACTCACAAGACTATCAAGTAATAATTGAGATGATCTTATTAAAACTCGTTATACATAGTTATATACATTTTCATGCTGGAACCCCAGGGGTAAATAAGTGAGGGGTACGTTGAAGAATTATTTAGCCGGATCGACAATGCATCTTTAGCGAACCCATTTGTCACCCTGGCGATCATCTAACAGGTGCAAAAAATCGGGTATTAATTAATTCCGGGTAAACTTCCAGCGGGAGTACCCGGATATCGTCCGATTATTGTTCCGCCGTGTCTAATAAAGATGAGGAAAGACCAAAGTAATGATGTAATACATCCAACGCTCGTAGACATACTCGTACATCCGAGTAAGTATATGGTGGAAAATGATAAGATTAGATGTAATCATAAAGCGTGGTACATTACCACAATCCTGAGCAGCAAATGAACTAAGCTCTCGCTTACAATGGAAGGGGGAAGTTGCCACGGGGGAATCAATGGTTTCGCAGTAGGATTAGCTATATTATTCGCAGCCAAATTCAGTGACGATATTGAGGTATCTATTTCGACTCCGCGCAATACATTTAACACCCTCTAGCTTTATCAACTCATTCACGGAGACAACCAGGGTTACGAGCTCTTTATGCACTCTCTGTGTGACTAACCACAAATCAGTGATATTTCTCAGTGGTTCGCTTCATGTTGCACCATAGTGCTCCTTGCCATGTAATTGCGAGTCATGATACGCGAGTAAAGCTGAATTTATCGAATTCTAAAGGTCATCACTTGCTGACCCAGCCTTTGATATCTGTCGCTGGACTACAGACAGAAAATTCAAAAGACAACTCCATCGGAATTCCAATAAGCTAGTACACTTGTACATCAAAATTATTTAGACAATGTCAGAAGAGTATTTTGAGTCGTCAAACAGACGATAAGCATAGAGCTTAGTTTGAGGATCAAAAATCCATTTTTGGGCCGAAATCTTTTCCCGGCCTAGACTTCCAGTTAGAATAGAGATTGATGTGACGAAAGAAAGTGCTGTGATTGATTTGAACGAACCTATTTAAATTGCCAAGATAATTAGCGGAATTGATAAGGAATATTGTGAGAGTCGGCCACCAGCTGAGTGCGAAGATAAGATCATTACCCGAGTTCAATATGAAGTTTGGGGACATCTTGGCTTTCAGGTCGAGTGTACAAAATGTGGTAAAATAGATCGCGATGGTAGATCGCCAAAGGTGATAACATTACTGAAAAAGGGACAAGATGAACGGAACCCAACGAAAACCAACAAGCAAAGCTCAAACAACGCTTCAGTAAATCATGTATTCATTTTTTAAATTCCAAAAATCGAATCACGGGGTATCTACCTATCGCTAATGATAACGCCAATCTGGATGCAGCACTAAAAATCAATAGCCGGACCGCTGAATACGAGCTGGAACAACACGACCACCAATAGTTTTCTCCTCTCCGCCCAATTGCCAAACACGCTGCCATGCCGTTTTTACTGACAGAGGTACATCAGTATCAATTGAGTTCTCGACCACCTCGTCTTCATCTTCACCATCCCAGAGTTCGATTTCCGGACGAGCCTTTGGTGGACGTCCCACGCGTCCACTTCCGACACGTGGAACCGGACGAGGTGGTAATAATTCCCCAGTGAAGATATCCTTGACCTGGAGTTTCGTAAACCCGCGGATTGGCATGATGCCAGCTTTTTCATCATGCTGGTTGTTATTTCGACGAACAAGGTAAAGGCCCTCGGCCAAATCCATATAATGTTGCCATTGTTGATCAGTGGTCACTTGCTTGGTGAATGGTGGATATCGAGTACGACCCAATTCGCGAAGACCACCAATGAACTTTGAACCCATAAATAGATCAGGATGACGCCTTTCTAATAGGTCTGCAAGAAGCCCCCCAATTTTATAGACAATACACTTTGCAATACGTGGTCCAGCTCCCGGGTCGCCTTGGTCTGGAATTTTGGCTCTAATGAAGAGCTTATTCCAAAGGGATCCGGGAGTAAGTTTCTTGACAAGAGTGCCGTCTTCGATTTCATCGCTAATCAACGACATCAGCATTTCCAATTGATTGGTTTGTGCATCGCCACTATTGCTAGCAGCTGGAGGAGGGTCTGGAATTGTAGGAGAGTCGACAGCCATTGGCTCTGGTTCCACTGAAACGAATGTATTGGCTCTCTTATAAGCGGTCTTTCAAAATTAGCCTTGTGGAATTGAAGAATAGTATAAAGATACGTACAGGGCATTGCTTCTTCAGGAGCTTGTAGATTTCTGTACTAGACCATCTCATAGTCTGAGCCTCTCCATCGACCCAAGTTTCCTCACGAAAAGCTGACAACAGAAAGAATGCATTTGCATCTTTAGTCAAAACTTCGACAACGTCGTCTTGTAACAGTCCACTGCCATCTTCACGACCATACTATAATGAAGAATCAGCCTTTGGAGCGAAGCAACATTGGAGAGCAATTGAAACTCACTTCCCAGCATAACTGACCCAAGTCATCTTTACACTCCCTATTGATTACACGCTCATAGTAATCGGTAACAAAGTGCTTAAGTTCTGCACTTTCTACCATGCTTGTAAAGTGCGCTACATACTTTTGTGAAGGTTTGAGCTCAACCCACCACTTAGTTGCGGAATCTTCAACGTAAAGAATGATGGCTCCAAGCTCATCCCTTTCGTAAGAATACATTTGGAATTGAACCTGGCAATGTGAACCATTTGGTTTCTTAACTATCAGAGCATTAGGTATTAATGCAATGAATGGAAATTGGATCCCCAGAGTCAGAACTTACATTTGTATCTTTCCGCATTTTCTACCCAAAGTGTACCTTCGGCGCGCAATTCCAGACCGAGGACAGAATCGAATACATTGGCAATACTGCGGTTTTTCTGATAGACAATCGTATCTTGAAGAACAAGCCTTGGCTCATCAACATTCATTTTATCGAGATTTTCTCCTGAAGAGTTATAACTTTTATATAGTACAGCACCAGGTGTGTCAGAGCCAAACATTTGAGATCTGGAAGCTTTCGTGGCTTTATGGCTTTATATCTGTTGAAAGAAAAAGGGAATAATGCAATAGTCGATACAATTTCGTAGCAGTTGATACTTAGATTCCAGATGAGAAGATGATCTTTTCTTCAACAATGTCTTTGTGTAGAACAAGGTAGAACAAGGTCAAGTGCAATGAGCCTTTTTTGTTTTCTACCCCCTCAAACTCAAGCAAGCTATGTCCGCCTGTGTTTGTTGATAAAGATGATAGTCGGCCAAATGAAACTCCGACTCCGAAGTCCCTGATAATCGTTCTGAATTTCATGATGAATCTCGAAATCCATACAGTCAGATGGTTATGGAGTACATTGCTGACCTACTGGGTTTTGAAGATAACTTTTGATAAGAAAAGTATCTGCTTGCTCTCAAGGAAATCTCTTTCCTAGAATAACTGTTACAGTCTTTTTATGTGATCAAACAAACATCTCCTCTACTTCTCAAGACTAAAAATAAAAAATATTGTCTCAGGATAAAGCTCGAATCACATGTCACATGGAGATAAGGATGCCAAGCTAAGACTCTGCAGCAACTTCCATGGCACAAAAAAAAGCTGGAGAATCGAAATAAACTCCACTCCATATCGACCAACAGATATCTATTACCATCCATAACAACCTAAGACTAGCAGATGTCCAGACGTGCCTGGTGGACAATGACGAAAGGAAAGGTTATGGAAGGCGTTTTCGGTATGAATCGCTCTTTCCTATCTTCAATTGATCAAAATAATTGACAGAACCCCGCAGCCATTAATAAACCCACTGGTCGTTCTTCCGCTCAAATCGTTCGCGATCTTCAACACCATTTCAATCCTTCCGAACTATTCGCACCTTACATTCAAATAGAAACTCGAAACCGAGAAAACGAATGGCACAACCAAAAACAAAGACGTAGGAAGTCGGGTAAGAGAGTTCAGGTCAAGATTGGTCATGGAGGAACTTTAGATCCGTTGGCTACTGGAGTCCTTATTGCGGGAGTTGGAAAAGGCACAAAAGAATTGAGCAATTTCCTTCTCTGTACTAAGACTTATGAGACAACTGTATTATTTGGTGCTGCGACAGATACATATGATAAAGATGGGAAATTGTTGAAGAGAGCTCCTTATGAGCACATTACGAAAGAAATGGTCGAGAAAGGACTTGCTAAATATCGTGGAAAATTTATGCAACTCCCACCGTTGTTTTCGGCTTTGAAAATGAATGGAAAGCCTCTTTACGAATATGCGCGCGAGGGAAAGGAAATCCCCAAAGAAATTGAAAGAAGACCCGTTGATGTCTCGGAGCTGGAGTTGCTGGAGTGGTATGAAGGTGGTGAACATGAATGGAAGGCGCCAACTGAAGAAGCGGGTTATGCGGAAGTCAATGTTGCGGCGAAGTTATGGAAGCAGGAGCGAGCTGAGCCAGCAAGTAATGGAAAGGAGGCAGAGAATGAGAGGGCGCTGGAAGATTTCGAAAGTAGGAAGAGAAAAATGGGTGATGATCAAGATGACTTAGTTTTGGAAAAGCCGACCAAGAAAGCCAAGGAGGAAGCCGAAGAGGAAAAGGAAGATGCGATGATGTCAGGAGGTCTTTCTTCTGACAAAACTCCAATTGAAGATCAACCTGTTCCCTCCAAAGAAGAAGTCAAGAAAGGACCCCCAGCGGCCAAAATCCGCATGACTGTATCATCTGGTTTCTACGTCCGATCATTATGCCATGATCTCGGCGCAGATTTGGGATCAGCGGGATTGATGACTAGTTTGGTTAGGGTCAGACAGGGACAGTTTGAATTGGGTAAGAACGTTTTGGATTACGATGATTTGGAAAAGGGAGAGGAGGTCTGGGGACCACAGGTTGAGAAGTATCTGGATGAATGGAATGCTTTGTCGAATGCAGAAAAGGTCACAAAGACAGAGACTGGTGCGGAGAGTGCTACAGAAACAGCCGCAGCGCCGCCTGTAGAAGAAAAACCTGCTGCGGAGGCGGAAATAAAGGATGAGACCACTGAGATCAAGGAAGAAAAAGATGAGATCGCTGAGATCAAGGAAGAAAATGATGAGACCACCGAGATCAAGGAAGAAAAGGCCGACGCATAGAGCGAATGGTTGGAGGCAGATTATGCTAGCATTGCGAATAACTCAAAGTTTGGTTGTTTTGAGGCGTGGGTTGTCACCTTGCCGGAAGAAAACAAAAACTCAAGTTTGGTATCTCATGGGATATAGATCGGCATCGTCTTTGCAACGATTTCATCAATTGTATTATACAAGCGTTTCGGAAGGAAAGGCCTTTATTGGCGCGAATCTTACTGATAGATAGAATTGCTATTGCATTAGAGTTCAAGAACATATTCACTTACTATCTTCCTATGCTGTTAGATCACACCTCACGTTCGTTCCTTTTTGTCCCCCTTGTCTTCCTCATACAAACCAGCATACGTAGCCTTCAATCTTCCCATCAAATGTTCATCAGCTGTAATTTTCTCTCCTTTCTTCCTTTCTATTTCTCCATTGGCTTCTCCAAATTTCTGTACGCGCTCACTGGGTACACTTTCTAACACGGTGGTGCCGACGGGATGACAGAAATAGGCTATGCTGTAGCGATCTGTAATTTCTGTTGGAACAGACTTGGGGAAGATGACGCGGTGGACGGTGGAGACGAGGAGATTGTTCGTCCAGTGCGAGAGGAGATCACCTATGTTTACGACTGGGGTGAGGTAGAGGTTAGTTACATTTTCAGAAAGGGAAATGCATTTTGGAGGTGGATAAGAGGGGGGCGATTTGGGAAAAGCGACATGCATACGGAGGATCGAAGACGTCAAAGTTTGGGGGGGGGGGGGATATATGCTTACGGATTGGTGGAGATGGGTCATTTTCCGTAGTTGGAGGCTGGATTGGGACTGGGGTCCATTTTGGCTCTAAAGAAGAGGAAGGAGGAAGGATTTCGAGACCCGGTTGGGAGGGTCGTTCTGAAGGAATTAGTTGTTAGATTGGGGGTGTGATAGCAATTGAGGAGATGAGCATACGGAATAAAAGGGTAATAGATCCATAGTCCGAGTGAGCACCAGCTCGGATATCGACATCGGGTTGGTAGTCAGAATTTGGGGGCAAGGAAGGATAATAGAGCAGACGGAGAATGCATCCTGTTGTGCCCCCGTGATGTCTAGAGGAGAACCAGTCGGAGCCACCAGCTGCGGGGTCGATCTGTGGAAAGTTAGCATTTTTAACGTTCTTGTGATTGAGTAATTTGCGGCAAATGAGAGTGTTAATTAAAGAGGGTTGTTTAGAATGTATACCTCGAGACCGATGGCGAAAAGCGTAAGGAGTTTAAGACAAAGCTTATGGCAGTAGAGTTGAAACTCGTTGAGCTCTGATTCATGTGGAGATAATGAAGGTGGAAGTGGTTGTTCAGCCTTTCCATTGACAAAGTCGCCTAAATTGAATGCTCTAAGGGGTAAGAGTTAGTTCGGACTTGAATGGACGGGCTGTAGGAGAAAGGCAAGCTACTCTTTGAAGTCACCAACCTGTAAATTTATTAGTTTTGAAATCTTGAATGGTTCTGTTGAAGATATAACGTACTCGTTGATTCTTCTCATCCAATTTCTCGGTGTGCATTCCAGACCATCCCCTATTCTAACCCCTCATCAGCTGTCATGGTTGAATACAAATCAACTTATCACATACATTATTTGCGATTTTGCATGGTAGCTTCTCTTCGATTGGAGAAGAGAAGAACTTTCGAGACTACTTTATGTTTTAGCCATAAGAATAACGGAATTTCGAGGAAAGCGTACTCACCAACTCGAATGTTCTGTCAATGGCATCGACAGGGATATCTTTCCCCAGATTTTTTATGTAAACGAAACCAAAGGTTGCAGCTGCATCCACAAGTTGTTTAGCAACTTCCGACTGAGGCACTGAGCCTGAAATATCAATAACTGGTATGCTCCCTTCGTTTGAAGACGACATGATTCCTGAGGGATGTATGGTTGAATGTAAGTGGGATATGATTCTTTTTTATACCTTTATACCTTTATATCTTTTCCAGGGTGGGATGAAATATATCCATTTGTAAAAACCTTCTGATAAGAAATCATTGAAGAGCCCCCTTATCGTAAATTGCACGTGATGAGACCAAAGGATGGACGGCACGACGGGTTGAGGACGGGGACACTGACAATAAGTCTTGAACCGATCATTTTGGGAGCTTGGACACTTCTCGAACTGCGGTTGTGGTCTGAACTTCAATTTCAAAATTATATTTGGGAAGACACAACCACCACCTCTGCGCATCTAGTACATTCATTTCGATTTCTGAAATATACCCTCATCTCACTCCAATACACTCCTCAGATACCCCGTCAAGATACTCCGCCGTAGTTCCTTCTTTTACACCAACCCATAACATCTTCAACTCACCCTTGACTCAATATCGATCTTACAGACCACCAACGTTCCTTCCCACGAACACCCCTCCAATATTATCTAAGAGGGCCACAACACGAATATAAGGTTTGGTATCTTTCGTTTTTGGAAAGCACTTAGGAATCGAATCATAATTGGAAAGAACAAGTGAATATAGTATTCAGGATTTAAATTCAAGATGCCTCGTGAGTTCAATTTCCTTCTCAATTCTAACCTCAACCGCAACCATAATCATCGCGAGACAAATCTCAACTTCCACCTCCGCCTCTACGAAAATCTGAACTTCGACAAGCAAAATGGGTTGCGGAACGGAGGATACGCTTGGCTCAATCATCCGTGAAGTGATTTCCGAAGCTGAGTTCGTGGCGACAAATCCCTTCGATAATAATCAGGATATCCAAAATGCGCTGTTGGCATCGGTCTGCTGGGTTGATAGCACATACGATCGTGCATACTATATTCCGGAGCATTGGACTGATATAGCATATGCAGTAAATACTGGCGACCCGTACATTGATGCTGGGGTAGTGTAAGATCTCAATCATTCCGCAGGAAGTCATCTGCTAATTTGCGACAAACAGTTCTATGCCACTTTCCGATTTAGTAAACGCAAAAATTGGTGTGGAAGCTACAGCATACCTGTCAAATCTTTTGAAAGGGCCTGCCGATGAACCTCTACTTGCAGCTTTGGGCGGAGAACCCATGGCATTAAAATTACACATCGAGAACGATTTGGACAAATGGAAGGAACATGAAATGGAGCCATACTTCGTTTTTGAAGGTCAATCAGTTGTCGGCAAGAAGGAAATGACTATGCGCCGTCTGAAGTCTGCCATACCCGAAACAGAGCAAGCCTGGGCAATTTATAACCAAGGCAATCCTACAGATGCTGTCGCAGCTTTTCGCAAAGCTAGTGAGTGTCTGAGTGTTTAATCAATATCGTTATTTGTACTAATTCAAGATAGGCGCTATCCAAATCACCGACCTATATCATATCCTAAAGGAAGTGCTTACTGCGAGGGACTTGGATTACATGACTGCTCCTTTCAGTGCTTGTGCTCAGCTCGCCGCCCTCGATCGTCATGATGAACAATTCATTGATGGAATTATGGGCTCTCAAGAATTACTTCTCTATGACATTTGGGATGCTGTCATTTACCCACCCACCCCAGCGGACTGGGAGAATAGATCTTTAAGAGGCGTTGTTAGGTCTGAAATTATCAAGAAGCTTAACGTTACACCAGACATGCTTGCCGATGCATTATTAATGACCGGAACCTCATTTTTACCACCGTTCCCTCCCCTTCAAGATCAATCTATCATCACCCGTCAACCATACACCGTTGGTGATGCTGTCAACCTACTGAGAACCTCGGAAAAGTCGGTTAGTGCGACTTGCACAGCTTTCAACGATATCTTAAGTTTGCAAGATCGAGATTGGCTTGACAAGTACCGAAAGGCAAAGATGGGTATCAAGCATTGTGTTACTGTGCACACAGATGGAAGCATTCATATCAGAGATTTTGATCACTTGACAGGAGACAATCATGAATATCTTGGTTTGCAACTACCTGCCGAGTTATACTCTTATCTTCAAAAAGATGTGATCAGTTCGCGTCTTATGAACACTTTCAACTCTCTCGAATACCATGTTCTTCCAACTCTTGATGGCTTTGTATCACCTGAATATCGAAAGCTAGTTACAGAATCTCTTTTGCCACTCAAAGAGACTTCTGCAGCCCTCATTGCTCCCCGAATGCATCGTGGTTTCCTCTACAAGGATATCACTATGCGCTTATGGTTCGATGATGAAAACAAGCCATCCTTAAATCATAGACGCTTACAACCACAGACTAATAACTTGGTTGATGTGTGGGGTTTAAAGGATCCTGAATTAAAGAAATTGGAAGCAAAATCATTACAAGCAGGAACCTTGTCTTTTGCCGCGATATCATTACTTGATAACAAGGACCTCCCCGCTAAAACTATCGGCAAAGGAAAGACTACTGGTCTTTCCTCGAAGGCAGAGATCCTTTCCAATTCTTTATGGCGTCTACTTCATCTCAGAGGCTACATCAACGATCAACACGAGCTTACAAATTGGGGAAAAGCATTAGCCACTGCTTTGAAAGCCATCCAACCTATTTCCGAGAAACATAAGGATGTTCACTTTATTGAGGAAGCAGCATTCGTGGCATTCGAGCTCATTCGTTTTCAAAATCTCCACAATCGTGACCATCACCCTGAATTGATTGGAGGGCCACTGCGAGGCGAAGAGGAAGACAAAGCAAACTGTATGCTCATAAGTCGGGTTGCCTGTCTTCTGAAAGTCAGACACTCCCCAATCGGTTATACTGGTCCTTTAAGCAAGAATTTCCTTTCATATCATTCAATCATCAAATCTATTCGGGAAACAGATAGAGATCTAATTGAAGCCATTGTCGCCTCGATGCTTTTGAGTGGTCAAGTTGCCCGTGATGTTAAGCAATATCAAGGGTTAGGTCGCAGGTACGTTATTTTTTTCATTCCTTTCATTCACCCTCTTAGTTGATCATCAACTTCTGAAGTTGTCAAGCCACTAACAATTTCTGGAATAGTCTCCCATTTGATAATGATATTGATATCGCTTTCGGAATCGCCGTCAAAACTTACCTCGATGACTGTGTCAACCCCGAATCATTGAAAGAGGACAAGGAGAAAAGAGTAACGAGATATGCTAATCAATATATTCCTTACGCAATTAATTTTGTAGAGGATCTTGATGTTGCATTTGGTTTCTTTGATGCTTTGTATAAGGGAGTCAAGACTTTGTCCGATGCAGAGATGAAGGAGGCTGAGAAGAAGACATGGGATGATGCAAAGGCATATCTCGATGCGAGAAGATAAATGAAGGCATAGGGGTTGGGCGGTAGTGATATTACTTCTGGCATGATGAACTTGGCTCTGGTGTGATGGGGTTTGGAGGTGTGGAAGAACGTCGGGTTATGGATAATGATGAGTGGAATGTGACGACGGAGATGGTTTGAATGGAATGGATGGGCAGGCATATCTCAAGTCAACGTGACAACACACTATCTGCTACTAAACAATACCTTATGGATGTTGAAGGGGACAGGTTAGTAGCTAGAGGCCAGAAGAATAAAACATCGTCAACCCCATGTAATCCACTTTTTATGACTGCGTCCTTTCAATCTAGGCGAGGAAAGTTCTACGTCTGGAAAATCCAGATTTACCGAGTACTCGTAGCTCAAGGCTCGTATCTATGCTTTACATCTTGTTGGCATATTCCTTCAGGTTGTGATAAAAGATTAATCAATCCACTTTCTTTTAATTTCACAGTCCCTGTTCTGTAAGCCGGGAAGGCCTAGTGTCAGCTCTTGGTTCAAGGGGGAAGGAAGTCTTGCCGTGTGCTTCCAGATTTTGTTGGCACCGATGTTGACGGGTTAGTGTTCAGTGGGTTGAGTTCTGTACCGGGGAAAGCTTGAGTTGAGCTCCCTCCTTGAGTGTTTGTATTTCCTTGAGTGGCTATGTTTCCTTGAGTGTCTATACCTCCTCCAGTACTGTGAGCATCTGGAGCAGCTTAAGCGTTTGATGAGCTTGTACTTTTTTTTTCTTTTCTTTTTCTTGCAAAAGCCGCACATGGTGTAGGAGTGCAGGGATTGATTGATATCCGGATTCATATAAATGCTAAGCTACGATGTTAAGAAAGTGGGACTGGCACATGTAGAATAATTGGTACAAAGAGCATTGTGGTATTAAGGATATGGATTCTTTTTGATGCTGCTAGAAAGCTCGCTTGAGAATGGGGTTGGTGCATTGTGATATAGGAGTTTGAATACTAGGTAGGTGGATACTAGGTAGGTCTTTGAAATTTTATTGAGATGAAGTGGTGGAATTGAAACTGTGTCGTTCTGAAGTATGTATCAATAGGTACTTTTAGGAGAGTATATCTACAAATCGTTTTAGAAATGGGACTTATGCAATATCTAATGCCTCATGGATGGATTGCATAACTAGGTATGGTACCATAAGCACCGCTTTATTATTCAATCATAATGTTATACCTCATACTCACCAAGTTATTATGACTTTATGTAGGTATGTAAGAAAGCCTTGAGATATTCGTTCATGATTTCTACACGAACCTTTCTGATGCTCTGTGTTTGCCAGCTACTGTCTTTTCTCTGTTGGTGTTAACAGATACAAAGATGGTTTCATTACTGACTATTGCACAAGTGAACATAGCGGTCTTTCACTATACGATCCAATGCAGCTCGAATGATAAGATTCGAATCCTTTAGTTCAAGGTGCGCAATGAGTCTTGACTGTCTGAACCCATTTTGAACAATGAGCTATCAATTTCTAGTTCAATATAGACAACTGTGCATCGATGTCCAAACCGAGTTTGAAAATTTTAGGAGAATGTACGCAGGTGATACATGAAGTTCTGATGAAGAGCTCATCAATGTCTAATTTAATCGCTGATACACTGTACCAACCCTTATCTTTCAAAGTTACTTATCGATCACGATTATTGTCTCACGTCTGCAAGTAAATTGAATCCACAGGGCTTGATCAACTAGACCATAGAGGCATATCGTCTTAGCGTCGAGATCAGGTAACATGCGCTCGATGCAATCAATATTCTGTGTATAGTGTCGAAAATGATGGCGAGTCCGCGCAAGCTCGTCCATAAACTCGAGGAAATGTGAAGGCTCGGTCAAATCCGAATGCAGGCGTTCACACATGCCACGGACTGTGGAGTGGAAGCTGATCATCTCTCTGGAAGAGGAGGAGAGAGAGCGGTCGAACGTGGTCTGTTTGGATTTCCGCATATCGTCAAAGGTAGGAACTAGGTAAGTAAGAAGTATCGATGAAGGGACTTATAAACAAACTACAACTCATAGCCTGCAATGACAGAGATGCCAGCCCCGCTAATGACGACAATCTTTTCACTCGATCGCACGAGCTCCTTAATCGGCTAAAGTCATCCATAGGTTCGCGGATGCTCTGAAGCGATCCTCTCATTTTTCGGACTCTCTTTCTGATTCGATGCTTCTCGTTAATTGTCCCTGAGTGGAAGCCGTCTGTCTAATTAGTCGGCTGATATGGAGTGGCTTGTCAGGTGATTCGGAGCTGAGACGGATCAGCCGTAGCACAAAGTAGTGATTCAGATAGTGCTGTAGCAGTCACGTAGAATAGAACAGAAGAGCGAAAGTAATGGTATATATTACACGTGGCAGAGGGTATAGCTTTGCTATACTCTTTGCTATGTGTTGTAAAATTATTAGGCTCTAAAACCGCTGCTGGCGCAGCGGGGTTTGTACTAGAACAAGTTACGTAACTTGAAAGTCACATAAAGTTATTCCGACAACCCTATGTAGATACTAGCCCTTATATGACTATATTATATTATAGTAATAAATCAAGACAAACTAGCTACATCCTTGTATTGTACATATTTAGAGACCATTTGATTAAGTGCCTTGAAAACTTCGGTTGAGAAAGGCAGTCATCCATCCCTATTTTTAGACATTAAACACTCCTCCTCTTCTTCTTGTATAGCGAGAGGAAGAGCAATTAATGGGATTCGTCGAAGGCCTTGACTCTGCTCATATTCTCTGATCTTTACTGTGGCTTCAAAGCCGCCCTCTAACCCCGTTACTATATAAAGCTAGAATTAACTAGAGGAAAACTTACCATGACTGGCATTTTTATTTCCATTAGCAAAATGTCGTATTGTTTGCCCTAACAGCATCAAAAGCCTCGAGCCCGTTTTCAACCACTGTAACGACATGGGTGTGTCACGGTGTGGATACATGTGATCGATAAGCGATAAGCTAGGCTTTGTTAGGCTAGTTTATAAATGAAAATTCTGTATATCTTCACATTGGAAGATCCTGTATCATAGCTCTTCGAGCTACATCTTAGTCTACACCCTATACCTACTATTCTTAGCACTATCGAATATAGATTTCTGATCCCGCCTGCCTGCCCTATAACACTACATAGCTTCTATTAATACTATTGTAATAGCAATATCAGCTCTGCACCTGCTCAATCACCCGAAGGATACCTCTGAGCTCAGTATAGCTGTAGCAGAGGATTCTCAAGTTTGGTATTAATACCTCTAGTTGGCAGCCGTGTATACTATTAGATTAGAAAAAGCTAACCTGTTTTTCGAATACGAGATTTGAGAAGTGTTTATTGAAAGATATATTGAGGTCTTTCTGTATAAGTAAATCGTTATACAGAATATCTGCTTGTTCAATCGCTTTGCTGAATTTGTATCTATTCCTGTTATATTCTCTGAAACAATACTTACTAAATCTGTCTTCGAATTATTTGATATTACTATATCCATCCTATCCGTTATTATCCGTTTGAGTGAATGTATTCCCGATTCCAAAGAATTTGATGGTTCCCGATCCGATTTGCAAAGATTCGTTCAACAGATATATACAAAGATGAGTTCGAATTCGATCGTTTTCCTATTGTCTTTACTTACCTGACTTATATTACTGGAAGACTTACTGGAAGAGTTTACGAATTGATCCTCCTCAAGATTATCTACGGTATCCCGCAATTCACCAATTATAGTCTGCTTTTGGAATACTTAGAGAACACTTTTAAGAATCTCAATCACAAACAGAATACTTAGAACCAATTATACCTACTCAAACAAAAATATCTCGATTTCAATATCTATTTCGCTGAATTCTAAAGACTAACTCTAAAAACGAGATATCTGATAATGCTTTGACCCCATTGCTATTCCAAGGAATCTTCTAAGAACTACAAGATATACTACTTTACAATTTGTTCCTATTCCATGATTTCCAGAAATACTCTGTTCATCTATAACAATTTGATAATCGATTCTATTAGTATTAATAACAAATCTTTCGAAATCGTTTATTACTTTTATCTTTATTAAAAAAAGACTTCCATTCTGTTATTCGAATCTATCTATAACCCTATAATCCAACCTTCCTATACAAGCAAGATTGCTTTTTCGCTTATCTAGAAAGAAGATTCTATAGATCTCAGTTCCCAACATTATATTATTAGTAATGATTTGTTTCGAAAAGAACAAAAAGAATATTATCATTATGATTCTGCCGATTACTTGATTCGAGATTGCCTACATCCTAATACTTGCCCTATCTAACTCAGAATTGGGATTTCCAGTTTATCTAGATACAATCCCACTCCGAAAAGTCTACTAAAAAGCAGAATATCCATCCGATCCCTGTTTCACTTCTCACTACAATCACCACCCCGCTCTCCAACCAGCTTATTCGAATTGGAAAACGAAACTCGTCTGATTTAAATCACCATCAGAACAACCTTCTATATAAACTCTGTTTATCTACTACTACCACTCAAGGATTATCCTTGAAAAATGAATTGAATAATCGTATGAATCTAATAATCCTATTTGTTATTCTGTTCCTAGGAAGAGAGACTCTCCCAACTTATGTCATGGTGGATAGTAGTTATGAAAGAACTGCCTTCACTAATCGAAGTTAAATGCTATCCCAGAAAATCCCTGAACACAAACTATCTGCTGCCTTCGAAATCATTGGATTCGATAGCAAAATTCTACCTGGAAATTGGGTTATATCCTATATCCATATGGATTTAGGATTAATGATTATATTGAGAAGAGAGTTATTCTGTATGTAACTGAATTAGCCCATTACCCTATGATATTGGGTATAGCCTAGCTTAAGAAATACAATCCCTATATCGATTTTACAACAAACTCTTTCCAATTCGATAGCTTGTATTATTACGAATTTTACAATACTTTATTCTGCCCGTCCCGAATAAAGCTCTTCCCGATATTCCCTCGAAAGCCTGATCTATACACCTACCCAATCACCCTAAAAGCCTCGAGGATCGAGATATAGCCACAATCTCCCTGAAGGCCTATTCTACATACGCCTGTCGGAAGTATGAAATGTTCCAGATTTCTGTTGGATAGATTAACGATATTCTGAAAAAGAAGAAAGAGTTTGATTTGAATGATCTTTTATCCAAATTCCGAAATTGGAAAGATGTATTTTCCCTACAGAATACTAACAAGCTACCACTACACCAATTGTATAATTATGAAATCTGATTCCAAGAGGGATCTGTATTACCCTTTGAA